AGGGGGGCGGAAGGAAACGGCGCGGCGGGAAGAAAGCAAGCGAGAAGAGACCGACCGCGTGACGTGACATGTTGCGGTCGAATTTCAACGACTAATTTTTCTGTTGCCCTCTCCACCGTTTGCTGTCGCGTTCAGACTGTCTCTAGGGATATCCCTGTCTCTGTGCGAGTTTGTTTATGTCCTCGTCTGTCTTTGGTTTATNCGCTCTGCTGACCCTTGGGGTCCATTTTATTTTGGTATACCTTTTCTAGGTATGTTAGCCTGTGACCACGGAAATTGGCCGAGTCAAGTGATGGATTGGTACGGAGAGATTGAGACAGAAGGAGGTACTGGATAGAGAGACCGGGATGGTTTTTAATGTGAAGACAACAACAACAACAACAACTGCTGTGCACACGCCGGCCTAAGAAGAAGTAGTCGAACATGTAATAACACCACTCGCTGTGAGTCCCGCCAACGCCAGCAGCGGCGGGTTATCCCTCGCTATCAAACGCGGCATGGTGTGTGACTAGGTCATGATGTTTTCGCGTGCGTATCGTGGGAAGGTCGACTTACGTATGCATGCATAAAGTCTACTGCAACGCTCGTAGCCTTGTCTTTTGAGGGGAGGTGGGGAGCTGCAGAGCGGACAAGTACGTCATCCGTGGGTCGCTGGGAGAACCCTGATCGGAATTTCACAGCCTTCTCGTTCAACGTACCTTGTTGGGTTGAAATTCCGGGTTGGCAATATGTTGGGGGGAAGCAAATGGGATAATCTAGATAAACGCGTTTGCAGGTGCATGTGACAATCACTCCATGACTTGGATCGTGGAACATAACAGCAAAAGCTACAGCCTGGAAGATATACCGTAGTGGGCCCTCCATAGTGCGCGTAAGTGTCCAGATAATTTACCCACCATACCGGTACTATTCAAAGTACACAACGACTTGGTATTTCACTGCTGTGTGCGAGCCGAAAACACCGGCACTAGACCGGGCACCCAGCACTATTCGACCGGCACTATCCCGGGCCCACTACATGTAACGCCAAAGACATGTCTCGAGTTCCGATGGTCTGCGTTTCCAACCAGTTTCGCAGACCTTCGGCTGGGAAAATTTGATGGTGAAAACCGGCCTTCAATTTGGATGGGGAATCTACTGCTGTAGGGCATGCACAGAGCGCACGGGGGGTTCAAAGCGATCAATGTCGAATCGAACTGACTGTTTATTTGACATCGACGCTCAACACAGGTGAAATCATCTTTTATCACCAGGCAATCTACAGAGTGTCCTAAAATTCATCTTGGAAATGCCTCAAAATAATGCGAAGCTATGTTTGCCACACCATCGCGTAACTCCCGTCATATTTTCAGCGACCCCACGATTTCGTCGTAAACGTTAACTTATTTCGCAAACACCCATAATCCCGTCCGCAAGGACCGATGTGCGAGGTCAATAACCGCTCGCACTCAAAATGCCGCCGACAACAACACAAACCTCCACAATTGCCAACAACCAAGAAGGGGCGCCCCCAAATAGCGCCGTCACCCGTCTCCAAAAAGTTGGCGGTGACACCCAGCATCCAGAGTCTACTACCACCCTGTCAAACTCCCGGCTACTACTGTTACCTGCTCTAAACAACTGCTGGTATAGCACATACATTACGCAACCCTCGACACGAAGGTCGACCACACAGAACAGCCACTCCTCCATCGTCCTAGCATGTCCTGCACCCCGGAGAGTGCCCGACCGTCGATCAAAGTATGTATCCAAGGGGCGATTATATCTAATATGAACGTGACGAACCGCAACTGCTGAAAATTGCCGGAAAAGCATGTAAATCATTCCTCTATTGAAACCAGGAAAACAATCAACAACAACAGACAAACTGCACACGGACAATGGCTCTACACCGGCAGCACTCGTCCACCGGCGGCGCTCTTCCTACCCTTGAGTCTTCAGTACCACGGGTGGTACCAGGAATCTTTCATCATCCCTGGGGCCTCCGCCCGCATCTTCTTCACCAACTCCTCGAGCTTTCCGTCCTGGTGGAGCTTCTGGACATCGTCGTTTCCGCCGAGGTGTTCCGAGTTAAAGAAAATCTGTCACCACACGTGCGAGCAGGAGGGGGGGAGGGGGGAGGGGCTCATGCTTGCGTTGGTACTTGGACCCAACAATCCTTCCCCGGAAAGGGGCGTCCATGTGAGAGGCGTCAACACCGTCGCCCACCGCTCAACCGTCGAGAGTCTACTTCACCTCACAGCAAACAACGAAAAAATAGCGACCCACCACCACGTTAAACGCAGTTTGTGACACCCTACATACGACGCTATCCGCAACACATCCGTTGATGTTGTTTTGTTCCACCGTCCCTCAATCCAACCGTCGATCGCAGAAACAGGAACTCGTACATCTCACACCCCATTCTACAAAGCGGATAAAAGATCTGATGGGCCAGGCAGAATACTAGTCTTTCAATCCCCCACAGCACCTGAGGGACGGTGTTAGCTCCGCTAAAGGTCTTCATCTGCTTTATCTTCTTCTCGCTGTCCTCGCCCTCCAGCACATTCACGCGCGTCACCTTCAACGCATAATCATTCTCCAGAAGGGCCAACGCCTTAAGAGATAAAATGCAAACACAGACGAATGACACCAGCGGCAACGTAGGAGTTGAGCGCAGCTCGCGTGTTCGCGACAAGGCAAGCACGGGTGATCAAATTACAAAAAATGTGCCAAGGCATGCACAGACTCAAAAGGTGTCGAATTTGCAAGGCGAAGAAAAATGAATGATGTGAAGAGAACCGCAAAATTCTGTCCTGGCGGGCGAAATGCCAAGGTCGGGGTTCAGGCCAAGCACAACACGTGTCAGCGTAACACGCCAACACCAGCGGCAATTTATGTCCGCGGCGCCAGTTACCAGGGCTTCCGGGTTGGCCACCAATCGCTGGCGTGGAAATATTACAGGTGGCAACAGGTTCGGTTGGAGGTCTTGCGGCCAAGTACAGCAGTGTATCCTTGACCCCTGTTATCTATGCGACAGATCGTTGCGTTTCCGCAAGAAAAAAACAACAAAAAAAGGCGACGTTTCGCTCCAAGTGTCATGAAATGGTCCGCCTATCAAGAGGTTCATTCTCCAGATCTTCACGTTTGTTCCTAGCGTAAATCTCTGCGCCGGACTCGCAAGGCCGGGCAACAGAGAGACGAGGACAAGGAAAATCTGTTTCGTAGCGAAGAAAAAGCGCATTGCCAAGACTAAGGGCGGGATCTCTACAACGGAGGCGGTCTGCGCCGTGAGTGCGCATGATTTTTCAAGGACAAATCAAACAAGAATTACCCGTCGGCAAACCTGAGCGGGAGCACGCCGCAATGCCAAGTCTTTACATCCTGCACCATACACGGACAGATTCAAAAACCAGGGAGGGCTGACGTGCGTGCAATTACACCACAAATCACGCCCTGTTCGGCGCTCCTTCATGTCTGTCTTTTGTTGGCGTCCGGCAAGAGCATAACTTTCAAGAAAACTTGTTTCGCCGGCAGATTGGACATACCAGTACAAAATACATGCCCTCGGAAAGAGGACGTTGCCGCACCGGGGCTGTCTCCCGAGCACCGGCTCTAAGTAAGTACCGAGCAGGCTGGTTGACAGACGACTCAAAATCAACGGAGGGTCGCATTGAGAGAGGTCCCTCAACACGACGTTGGAACTCTGGTTGTTTGCGCGAATTCGTCCTAGATATTATGGCGACAGTCCCCCCATTTTCCGTGGTGAGATTTTGTCCAGATACCTCTTTTCGGAATATTCTCGACAGGACGGTTCAAACGCCACCTTTTCGGGCGCCATTCTGCAGAGGATGGAAGGGTGGAGCGAGCGAGCATTCCAGGTTTGACTTCGACCCAAGGGGTGTGATATCTTCCGTCATGTCACCTATCGCATTTCCTGCCTTGCAGATGTGTACTACCGCTATAACTCTGCTGTAGCAGCCTCCTGTTGCAGCTGCCGTGCTAATCTCGGCGCTCAGGCCGGCACTGCTGTGTCGCATGCCAACGAAATAGATTAGTGGTTGTTTGATAGGATCCGTGTCCGACGCCTGCTCCAACATGAACACCTTGCTGACCGTTGTTGACCTACGATACATGTGTTTCTTGGAGGTAGACCTGACGCATTCGCCCAGCTATATACAATAACCTGAAAACTCAAGCGGGTGCATCAACTTCGAGACTCAGCGGAGCAGTCCATAACCCACCTTTTTGCAGTGCGGGCAGGTCTCCTTGTAGTAGACAGTCACCAGCCCCGCTTGCCCGTCACCCGACATCATGGACAGCGGCGTTGCGACGGCGCCTCTAGCACCGGCATGCGACGAGGTGAAGGAGCGGTACTGTTGCCCTGCTGTTGGCAATGAAGCCACTCTAGGAGCGGTGGTGACGAACGCGCTAGCCGGGGAAAGGCTTGCGAGGGCCGCGGAAGCGGCTAGCACCAGCTTAATGATCATGATCATCGATCCGGCGGTGTTGTCCTGTCTTCGCGGGCGGGGTGACGCACGCTCTCGGCGGACACCCTGGTGAAAGTTGCTGCTGCTGTAAATGTAGTGCTCTTCTTTCAGCTCTCGCGAATCAGCTTGCCGTGTAGATTGTGGTGGAAGCACGAGTTGTCGCACGAGACGGCGGGCCGTTGAAGCGGGAGGTAAGGCGGGGTCTTGACGGAGTCTAGAAATCCGAAATTTGTAGTTTGGCCAAGCGCCTCAAGCGGGGAGAACCGGTGAATTGCTCATCCAGAAGAGCTCTGCACTCCGGTCGATAATCTCGCCGCATTTCTCACGCTTGCGGTACGTTGTACGTATGCGGTAATGGAGCACTCACCCTTCGGCGACTAGAGCAAGCAGCATGTCTCTGTCGGCGTGTCGCCATGCCTTGCGCCACCGTGGCTCAATCATTCTTCTCCGACACAGTAGCACCGCAGCAGCTTTGAAGCAGAAGCCGATCGCCGTGATAACACCAGCAGAAGGGACAATCTCCGATGCTCGCCATGCGTACAACAGCTCAGCGCGGTGGCAACAGCAAGCGGCAGCCGGGCAGGGAGAGGAAGGGTGGACTGGAGGCGACGGCGGCGAACGAGGAGGCCATGCAGGAGCTAGAATACTCGGCATTGCAGTGTTCTCGTCCCTAGTGAGTATTCTGTGAAAGGCAGTCTGTGAACGCTATGTGTTGCATGTACGTCAACTGCGCCTCCCTACTTGTAGATTACAGTAATCGGCGAGGTCGTGAAACCAATGTTGTAGATTCTTTTCTTATTCTTCGTATGCGTTCCGCGAAAGAGCGTCTGCCCCAAGAGGCTCGCCCTTGATGCATGGGCACCCGTGCTCTATTATCTGACCGCTCAAGCACTCCGAAGCCTTACATATATCGCTCCAATTGGCAATTTTCATGTGCGAGATGTACTCTGTGGATCATTGGTGTCATGTCATTTATGCTGCTGGGGTGGGACATGGGCTCTGACTCACAGGTCCAGCCCCTCTCCTCTGCTGCTGCTGGCGCCGTTGGTTCACTGTACGCCGCACTTGTAATGGCGGGTCGAGACAGGACTGAAAGTAGATAGCGAAGCGAAGCTTTCCGTTGATTTCTGTCACAGGCGCTTTGCTCTGAAGAAGAGGAGCAGGAGGCCTGTACAGCGGCGGGTGGCCGAATTGGAGAGAGTGCACACCTGTGCCAGAGCTGCCTCTGTACATAGCTCGCGCATTCTATATAATAGTGCTTCTCGCTAGCCTGGCCTTGGCATACTAGATTTCCCAACAGGACATCAAACATGTGCCCCGTGTCCCCGGCTGTTTTCCCTCCCTCTCTTGTCTGGTACACAGGTAGGAGCTACGGCATGCCTGGGAACGTGGCAGGCAATGCGCTACTCGTGGAAGCTGGACTTGATCGAAAGCAGGAGGGCCAAAATGGAGTTGGAGCCCGTCGATCTTCCTGAAGGCCTAGAAGGGTTAGCCGTTTTCGTCCTTACTGCATGACACCGCTGGTGCGGACTTTTTTTACCGCCGAAGTTGTGATGGCGGTATTACGTGTCAAGAAGATGACCTGGTTCTTGGTGGACAAAGAAAATCTGTGACCCATAGGTTTTGTAGGTCTCCCGCAGAACGGTACAGAGATGGGGATTGCACAAGATGCATGCAAGTAATATCTCCATGGCTTAGTGTGTTGGGGTCTGCATGCAGCTCCCCCCGGGGTGACGCTTTTCTCCATGATGGGCGTTTTGGGCCCAGCGGCAGCCGCAACGTTGCTCTCACCAACCAGGAAGCCACGTATGTAGAGGGAGAATTGCGTCGACTTTATAGCCGTGCGGACGAATAGGATTGCTTGGCACCTGCACAGCACGTACATCAGCGCCTTGCTTTGATGGTCTGGTTCTTCGGCAGCGCCGCACTGGCTACGATGATGGATGTCTTGGACAAGGAAGCGGATGGGAAGGCGTCGAAGGGGCCGAACGGAGAGACTCTGGGGGGGAGTGAGGAGGGCAAAGGTTTGCTCGGGAGTCTGGAGGGCAGGCGGTTGCGGGTGACCGGGGTTTTCGATCACGGCAAGGAGGTGCTAGTCGGTGAGTCCGTTCGCGTGTGGGCAAAGCCTCTTGGCCGGAATGTTGGGTTTAGCGCTTGTTAGGGCTCACTAGCGGCACTGGAACATGGTTTGGTGACTTGGCTCCGAATTTGTCATGAAGCACGCATTTGTTTCCCCTCAGACTGGCTACGATTCCAGAAAGTAGTCGAAGTGCATGAGATCGATATGCGTAGGTGCGTGTGTCGGGTTGTTTGGCGACTGGCATTGGTCTGTTCGTACGTCCCGCAGGAGGGCTTCGTCCACGTCCATCGCCCCATCGATCGCTTGCGCACTCCCAGAGAACAACTAATGGTTTGGACAGGTTGGCTGTGCATACAACGAACAAACACCAATGGGACCATGACGCCCACCAACAACTCAGGCAAGCGGTCAGTCGAACCAGCAACCACCACAGTAAGAAGAAGTCAGCAAAGCAAAGGATTACATCAGTTTTTTCTGCCACTGCGGCCTATTTTCCAGGACCGAGAGGAGCTCCACCGGGAATGAAGGCAACGTCGGGACCGTCCTCCATGGCCCCGAGCCCCATGGGCGACTTCGTCTACACACCGCTCAAGAGGGGAGACGGCTCCGTGGTGCTTGTGAACCGGGGATGGGTATCTCGCTCAAAGGGGCTCCGTGAGTGCATCGATGGTGCTGTTTTGGTCGTGTGTGGAAATCGACATGCTCTGTTTTGTGCCGAGGCGTAAACGTTGATGCCTCTGGGAGGGGACGGCTTTGTGATGCTTGCTGAGCGGGCGTGAGTGGGCTGAGTTTGGTTAGCCGATTCTTTTTATTGACCTTGCAAGGGGTTGTGGAATTGTCGGGCGGTGCGTATTCAAGCTCCCTGGCGCACTTTTACAGTGGACTTCACTCGTGCGCTGGGGTCATGTGATGTCATATCTCAGTGCTATGCTGTCTGAGGCCGCTGCAATGGTATTTTTCGGTCCTTGTCGGGTCGATTTTTTAGTTGTTCTTCAACATCGGGGGAAGAGTAACATCTTGGCGTGAGCAGACGCCGCCTGTGGTTCTCCGGCAGATCTTTAGACACGGGGAGTATGTGCAGATTCAGTGTGTCGTGGTGGAGGTTCCGTGAGAAGAGCAAACCTGCCCGACGAAGGGCGCGCGCTTGTCGTAGTTGTGTTTCGTGTTCGAGCAAATATGTCCCCGTGGCTCCAAGCATCAAAAATGTGTTGCGTCGATGTTAATATTTTTGTCGAGTTATCTCGGGAGAGTAAGGGGGGGTAGGTTGGCTGCTAGACTCTCGACCGCAAGGCCGCACCAACACTTATGGTACGCGTGTTGAAACGGAAACGAACCGGAAACGCCCGCCCTTGCATATTGTTGACGTGAGCTGCCTCTTGGGGGCCATCTTGGCTGCAGACCACCACGTTCTTAGAAGCACACCAAGACAAGCATATCGAAGGCACGCTTCTCTTTTTTTGCCAGCAGGGATTGTGTGCGTGTGTGTTGGCCAGCACGTTTTTTACATCGCACACAGATTTTCCTTTACTTGTCGAAGCATGTTGTTCTCGTTCACCCTTGTCATGGTGTTGCTCGTTCGTTTCCCAAATCCTGTCGCCCACGCGGACACGCAGAATGGTCTCGCCCGGAGGGAGAAGTCACCATGGTTGGCGTCTTGAAGGCCGCGGAGAAGCGGTCCACGTTTTCTCCTGACAATAAGCCCGAGACCCGCCACCTGCTGTGGGCGGAGAAGGCTGCGCTGCTGCAGGCGGCGGGGTTGGGCCGACACGGTGCCGGGGAGGGGGTGCAGTCGGTGCCCATATTGATGGAAGCGGTCGGTGAGAGCTATGGTTGCGGGGAACGACTTGTAGATCGGTTCTGTTTCTGGTCCTTTCTCCTATCCCGCACGTATGTCCGCGCGTACAAGATGAAGCACGTTTCGTCTACTACGTCATAAAGTCACACGCATTCTTGGGGACGCAGAACAAGGTGTGTTGAACCGTGCTCTTGTTGAAGGCGTTCGATCTGTCGTTCACTCCAAGTCGGCCCATTGCATCGCTTCGCAAGGCTGTGTTGTGCTTGGAAAGGGGATATTTTTGGCCACAAGCGTTTCCGAGATGTCCTGCGCCCTTTAAGAATGTGAGGAGGGCCTTGTTTTTTTTGCCATGCCCTTTGGTGCTAGGGGCCCGAGGGTAGCCAAGATTTGACAAAGACCCACAAGTCGGAATATGCACGATTTCTTGTCGAACGATGGTAGTACCCCCCACGAGGTAGCACTTCGCTTGAGTAGTTCTGCAGTGGTTCATGTTTCAGTTTTTGATCGGACTTCACGCCTCGGCCCGTGGTGATGTGTTGCAGGCGAAGAGGACGGCGACAAGAAGACCATGCCCATGGCGAAGACGCCTAAACACTTCGGGGATTTCTACGTCACGCCCCAGACTCACCTCATGTACTCGGCCACCTGGTGAGGTGCTCTTCATGCCATTGTCGTTGTAGATGTGGTTGTCGCGGAAAATTATTATTTTGTTGTGTTGGTGGTTTTGTTGCCGTTGCTGTTGTTGTCGCCGGGTTCGCACCGGCTTGAAAGAGGGATGGGATGATAAACCATGTACAACGTGAGGCATCGCGAGTGTTGCTTCGGCAGGTTAGATACGAAGACCGCGGAAAGGCTCGTCATACGGTACACGTGGCTTTCGCATTTCAAACGGAAACCGTAGTATGCTTACCCCATGACCGCCGGTAGACTCGGGCAACAGAAGAAAACCGCTCAAGTAGCCCGTCTCCTCCCCCTATTCCAACCCCGATGACACTTGCATCTTATCTTGTCCGGGGCCCCGCTGTTGAACTGCCTAGGTACGCCCTCGCGGCTGCGGGCTGCGCGCTCACGTGGGCAAGATTTCGCAAGAGAGGGCCGGCAGCGTTTTCAACGGCCAAGCCTCCGGGACTTTAAGTGCGTTGCTTTGCGCGGCAGTGTCCAGCGTTCAGCTGCAAAGTCTGTGGAGGTTGATTCAGAGGTAGCAGTCCTTACTCCTTGAGATCATGGAATTCTTCAAAGAGTACGTTGAGATAAACGGCACTCGGTTGGATCTTCCAGCCAGTGCATCTCCCAACAATTCCGATTCTGTCATGTTGTCATTTTCCCACTCCTCCAGAGTAAACACCAAATATTGCGAATCGTTGTTGTTCCTCTAGTGAGCGCTGAACGAACCTCGTCTTACGAGGTAAAAAAAGGAACCAAATAACTTTAAGTACCTGTTCGTACTGGCCTTGGTGGCCTAAGCAGGCATTGCATTTTCGGATGTAGTCGGAGGACCCACGAAAGGGCCTGCAAGGCCCCATGCGGGGGGGGGTCGCTTGTTTTCTGCGCCAAGACTTTCGCCGACTTTTAAGGGGATTTGGGAAGACGAAGAGGGTACCACGGAACAGCTGACGGATAACACGGGTATTCTAGTGGTGATTGACTCCGGACCGGCATTTCTCTCCATCTCGGGCAGGCGTCATATGGTCTGCGTTATTTTACGATGTACCTTTCCCACACTAGCTCAACGCTAGCACGTGGCTCATCGTGGCACCTCAGGGACGATTACAATGCCAAGGAAATCAGCACGCACACGACAACCTTCACCGTTTCGTGCACCTGCCTGGACGAAATGAGCGCATTCTATCGTGTGGAGATCATCAATAGTCCTCCTCAATAAGGAGACCTTCACACGGAGAGAGGGGACGAAAGACAACGAACTGTACAGATTATTTAATGCAGCGAACAGGCAACAAGCGCAACAAAAACGTTTAAACTCGATGAAGTACGCGGTCGGGAATCGACCTTGGAATACAAAAATGTGCCCAGCAGGTGCAGGAAAACACTCGCCGTGCCAAACAGCATTGAGTCTGCCCTCGGTGCCAAACCAATCCGAAAAAAAAAAAAAAAAGACGCTTTGCCTCCGTCGGTTGCAACGCTTGCACGGCGAAGAACGGCCTTGCCTGCCTGGTCCAGTCGATTCCAAGAATAGATGCGGAGGTGCCAGTGACCAAGGGTTTGCATCGTACAGCATGCATGTGGGGTGATGGTGTCGTCCTCGTTGTCGGATGCCGCGAAAAAAAGCATCAAATCTTGAGCCTGAATATGCATGGGACGGCCCTGTAGGCCACAGACTTGCTTCGCAGGTACCGGCACAATCCCACTCCACGAGATTCCCGCATTTCGTCACGATTCTCCCGCTCGCTGCTCGGCCTCTCTCTCGGCCGCGTCCTGCCTATTCTTCATCAAGGACCAAGCGTAGAGGTACACCTGGTCTCGCACCTTCTCTTTCAGCATACGCAGAACCAAGCAGAGCGACAGTCCGAGAGCAACGATGTACATGCGGAGGGGGGGGGAGCGACACGTCATCATCACAATGCATTACGCACAACAACCGAGCTATCAAAGCCTGTCTACGGGAAGTGCCCTCACTCGCAGAACCAGGATATCGCTAGCGGTAAGGGTTAACAAGAGAAGCGCTGCTCCCCAACAGTACCCACATCCGCGATTGGACGATTTGACCCAAACGCCCAAACACCAAGCCCCGACAGAAACCGCCCGCCGCAGCAACAACGAATAGTCTCCAATGTTACCTCTCGTGAGCCATAGATGTGGTTTGGAATAATGTCTTCCGCCTCCGCTTCGTGACCGGCAGCGGTGATGTCACCATCGGAAGTGTCAGGGCCAGACGAGGTATCGGCAGCGACGTCTAGGGCTTTCGCGTCAGTGTCCTTCTCCACCGACGCCGACAGGCCCGCCATGGCGGCTCTGGCAGGACGCCAAAAAAAAAAACACACGAGAGGAGCATCGAATCCCATAATCACCAAGCTCTATTGAGAAACAACAGACGAAAGTGCGGTATGTACTCGATTGAGTTTGCTGGAGAGAGACGAAGCATGATTCACAACAAAGAACTTGCAAGGTTACAGGAAGTGACAGTGACGGGCGTGGCATCTTGTCTAGCGCAACGGTCCGTGAGGCGGCATATTAACAACCTCGGGTTGGACACGCTACGGATGTCGCAAAAACATGGTAAGAGGAAAAGGCGATGAGTCGGGTCAACCACCCCTCGGCCGCCCTTGTTACCCACGGAAGAGGCCACGGCTCTTGCTGTTGGTGTTGTTGCTACAACATTGTTTCCGTGGCTGTTCGCAAAAATTCGCAACATGATCGCTCTCGGCTTGCCCCCCAACACGACCACTAGAGGTTCAGGACAACTGCTCTGGTCCGATGGCCGTCTGCCGTCGTCTCACCTTAGGGCAGACTCTTCCTCGTCAGACAGGGGAGGGCTCTGTCGCCGGCGTTTACTCAGGAGCTCCGAAAGGGTTGCCATCTGTGCATGCAGTGTTCCGTATTCGTTCGAGTGTTCCCGAAACCACAAGAAAAGAACCGGTAAGGAAGCGTGCATCGCCGCCAAAAAAATTAACGAGAAGATATGCAAACCCCTTGGCAAAATCGCCCGATCGGTACGTAGCGTAGTCACGCAAAAGCACGTTGACCGACACGGTACCAGCCTTGATTCAACCATTCGCCCTCTGATAGAGAAGGACCCCTACTCATCAAACACGCCGGTGCACGAAACAGGGTACTCCTTGTAGTCAATGAGGCAATAACAGCTGAAATATAACTGGAGAGGACAAGCCCTCAGCCTACCGAAATATCCTGTCCAACGCATTGCTTGCCTTGCCCCATAGCCTATCGAAATATCCTGTCCAACCCATCTCTTGCTTTGCGCCATGGATGAAACCGCGACAGAACGAGCCGCCCAAACGATGGGGGCAAACATAAAAAGACAACCGTGCATGAAAATATTCACCGCACACACAAGCGATCGATACCTGTCTCGACAGACCAGCAACATGCAGCAGAAAAACAAAAAACAAACAAACAGCAAAAACAGTGCGCGTAGCAGATGGGCCGCTCGTGCGTATTAACCTTGCCGAACGCACCCACGCTCGAATCACCGGCGACAATTTTCATTCGCCCACAGCGGCAACCAAACACCAAAGCCACAAAATATCACAACAGCAGCGGCAACCTATCAGCAGAGGCAGCAGCTTTGCAGAGCACGAGAACACCCACGCACCTGAGCCTGTTCGTGGTCGCTGAGAAGGCATGCCCCCGCCCCTTGCTGCTCAGCGGCTGTCACCGTGACCGCTGCATCTCCTGAGGGGGGGCGCCGCGAGCCTAAAGGCGGAAGCTGCCCGGTGGCTATGCGCCTGTCCGTCTCTTCTGCCCACACGAGCATCTCCTCATAGGTAGGGACGGGCGTCACCTACACCAGCGGGCAGCAGCGCATAGCAGTACAAGGTCAGTACAAGACGTCGAACCAAGACGAACAAGTCGCTTTGGATAGGAATGACATAATACGAAAAATCATTGAAATGTATCCCTCCAAGTAAATCTGTGGTTTTGCCGGGATCCTAGGAATCCATGGGGATGGATATCACAGCGGGAAAGCAGGACACAAAACAGAGCCACCCCAAATGTTTTTCGAAGGCATGGAAGTCGCACCTACTGCCATACTGCCTTGAGTGCTTGTTCCCGTACATGACTCCCTGTGTGGGTCTTCCGCCACCAGAACGTCTATCGCACCAACACGTCTGGCACCCAACCAGCAAACACGCTCCGCTCTAACACAAACTCAACAACGTCACCCCATCCCCATCCGGGACACTTGTTACCCGAATGGCGTTGCATACACTTCTCAACCAGTATGGGTCGCCTCCGACCAGCCCTTCCGTGTACGACGGTAGTGCCAAAACCGACTTTTCCTGGTTTCCAACCAGCATCGGACGGGCTTGCTGCGCGGGCTTCGACAGAGCAACTCCCACATATCGGTGTCATGATGATGCAGTCCCTGCCTTTTGTGGCCGCCTCGCCAGCCACTGCCGCGCGTTCTTGAGCCCGGGGGGCTATTGCGGGCGGTGGAGTGCCCTCATGCTGTCTTGGTTCTGTTTCTATTGACGCGGAAGGATATGAATGGACTTACAGTTTGCCAAATGCTCTGACAAAAAGAACAGGAAAAGAACGAAACAAATCCCGAAGGGTAGTTTTGACGTCAAAATATCCTCACCGGGTGTATGTTGTATGTGTATCATATTGTGTGCGGTTTGTGTGTTCGTCCCATGTATATTCTGGGCGCAAGAGGATCGAAAACACTGATGGCGCCCTGTTTCCCCCTCCCTCCACCTTCCCCTTCAACTTTACTCGGAGAAGGGTTCAGCGCTCGCTACTCCCGTCCCTTCGTGTTTTCTTGCGGCTGTGCGCTTGCGCTTTCCACGTGATTAATTGTCTCACTCCAGGCAGATTCCAAGATGACCTTAAAATCCCCCACTCACCCTAAACAGGTTGGGAATATCCTCGACTTGGTTCTGTTGCTCATGGTCGTCACCTTGCTGGGAAAACGAACGCGGTAGGATAGGAGGGGGGGGAGTACACCACGCGGGCGGGACGTCGGGCTACAGCGGTAAATGGACTGCTTGTAGTTCATACATGCGGCGCAACACTGGGGTGATTCATTGTATCCCCAACTTACTTGGGAATCATGATCGGCCCACGCCTCCACCGAAGAAGAAGCTTCGCCCGTGTTCAAGGCATTCTTGGTCGTTCCCCGGCTCGCTGTGTATCGATGCAAACTTTGTTTGGCCATATCGCTTCCAAGAGACAGAGGTACAGTCCCGAGTGCAGGCACGAGCGCAAGATCTTCACATTGCACAAAAGCACATTGTACAAGAGCACATCTGTACTGTAGCACAGTGCATTCCTTGTACAGCAGCGGGATGGTCACGCGGCCTTGCACTGGTTCCCCGCAGGTTCGCCGGTTCAACAACCCATGACATGTAACAACCTAGTCTACGGAAACAGCAGCACTTTCAGTTGCTCGCTTAGGCCGCCACAACAGCAGCAAACCTGCCGCGGCCGGCTCCAACACCCAATGATGGGCCTCACTTAATGTCTTCCGTATCCTAATGCAGATACCCACTGCTCTACTGCTCTCAAGGCACCCTGCACATTGAGGCCTGCGGCATCCGGGTCCAAGAGTGAGAGTTGAGGATTTGACGTGCGAGTGCCATCACAGCCGTCTTACGCATGTACTGCTGTAGTACCTACCTCAGCAGCAGCCGCGGAGAGTGCCTGCAAGTCACGAGGCCTCCTGCCGCCGCATCGCGATGTCGATCGCCATGAAACCAGTCCCGGCACACGCGGTACGGCAGGGACGAACGCGGTCAAGCCACCTACGCAACACCCGCCTCGTATCGGCAAGCCCATGATGCAACGTCTGAACAAAGGCAGAGCGAGAGTCGGGGGGGGGGATCCGCGAAGAGGATATGCGGCGCAATCAGTCCCGAACGTTTCCCGTCGCGCTGTTTTGGAACCTATCCTGAGGCACACGTGAGCGAGCATTTCTATCGTCCCAACGCTGCCTACCATCGTGATGGATGTGCACGCAGCTGCCTTGAATGGTGATGTAGAAGATGTTCGCCGGTATATCGCGGGCTCGGGTGATCCGAACATTCTCAACGATGCTGGTATAACGCCGCTGCACAGGTGAGCCGCAAGACAACATGATCCCGTGACACAAGGCGCACGCTGCTGTACCATGACAGAGGGGTGATTGGAGGCCTTGCCCAATACACACACACGTTGGCGTTGGTCCAATGGAACGTGATGTGTTCTGACTCCAAATCATCCAGAGTCAAGCATGTACAAATCCCCCTTATCATCAATCATTATCAGGAGTAGTACCATTGTATTGCAATACCGACGAACAGTCGTAGGCTCGTCATGGCGAATCATACCAGGGGGAATTGATACTCCTGGAGAGGTATCATCGACACCTGCAACACGACGTCCGTGACAAGCGCCCAGGTACGGTTGGAACGACTATCAGGGCCCAGAGTAGAGCTTGCTCTTGGCAGAATTGGTGAAAGCTCACTGTTCGAGAAAAAATCTCGTGGTGTGGATCGCTTTACTGCTGTAGCAGATCCGAAGTCAAGCACGATGGAGCCTCGTGAGGCGTGCTCTTTCGACGTACTGTACGTCTTGTTCTTCATAGGGACGAGCAGCGAGCATGTGCACGTGGAGAGAGAGAAAGAGAGAGAGAGAGAGAGAGAGAGAGAGAGAGAGAGAGAGA